ACCACCTTTTTCGTTTACCCTTTGCCCAATAGACGGTAGGGTCTGCTTGATAAAATGGGCCTACACTTTGGTCATTACTGCCCACGAAATGTCTGACTTGATGCCTTCCTTCCCTCAGGCATGGCCGCAGTCCAGGAATCTTGGAGGAAACTGTGTCCTCGTTGGGAGCACTAATCACTTCATCGAGTCATGCAAGTCTGTGGCTGCAGCAAGTCATTGCCTTACCTTCTGACATTAGCGTGCACAGTAGTCTGTGCTCTTTAATGGATGCTAAACGTGATAAAGTGACATCGCTCCCCTCCCATAAAGGTGACCCCTTGAATACCCCATAATAACCAACTCCATAACCACTAAAAACCATCTTTTCACTTTCCTGTCGTTTGGAACTACTGCCCAGTATGTTTTTGCCATTCCTATTTCATTGAGTTTAGATCCCTTCCAATGACCAAACTTCTTTCGGCTATTGTCGCTCAAGTGTCATCATTATTCTGTCGATAGTGAATCAGATACACATAGCCCTCATCTCCCCCCCCCCTCACATTGATAGTCAAAACTTTCAAGGGTTTGAAAGTCCATTAGCGTTCAATCGAAGGAATTATTGTACACTATGACATCATTCCAAGTAAAGAAAAGAGAAAAAATGTCTCGAATGCCGTTTTCACGCCTGTAATGCTCAATAACTCCTACGTTATAAATCGTTTTCAAGAAGATGACGGTAATGATGTCCATTATTAAGCTGAACAGGAGACCCGTCCTCAGCCTGGACAATTACTTCTTCGATTCATCTAGACTTGAAATCGGACGCCGAAATTGCATGGAGAGAAATGGAACGAAAATCTAAGCTTTTAGGAATTCTTGCAGAGCAGTGTGAAAATCGAAGGAATCTAGAATCGAAGGAATTCTCACGAAAGGGTGAATACTAAGCGCAGAGTAAGCACAAACTTCGCTGGTAGCCTTTTCTAGACGAGATATTCTCAAAATCTGTTTCCCTTTCTAGGAAATTTTCTCTGACGGAGGTTAGGGTTGACTGATTGTTTTGCTCCTGATTCATATATTTTCATGACAAATGGGAGTCTAATGTAAGGCGATCCCAACGTGGGTAGTCTACGGGGAAAATATCGTCCATTATCCTTTGATTGAACAAATCGATGCGCTGTTCACTACTTCGGCATGAGTACCTTTGTCTCTACAGTTATCATTCCCTATAAAGTTTCGTTGGTCTTATCACGTTTGAAACTGTTTCCGTCTCTATCGCAAGATACAGGGGCATCCACTACTTAGTCTAGGAGAAAGCATGAACTGCAGGGAAAATGTAAATGGCCCACGCATTCTCCTCATCCGCCTAAGTTTTGATGCCGTTTTCAACGACATGTATACGTGATTTCAAAAGCAGCCATAGCCATTACAATGCCCCCGTATCTTGTGATAGCGCCCTTACTCATTTACTGCTCGCTTGCGGCGAATGCTCAGATGTTCACGTGAGGTATAAACATGATTATTTGTTTTACAGCAACGAATAACAAATTTTCGCCATGGGAATATTCAGCGACCTCTTCAAAAAATCGCCTCCTTCACCAGCCATTCAAGAAAATGAGGAGGAGGGAGTAATGGTATGAGTTGAAAATCTTGTCTCCCTAGTGTCTCTTTCCAACATTTTCACCATTTCAGACAATTCGAAAAGGATCTTACGAGTATGAGAAACAGCACACACCCCTCGTACAAAGTGGCCGTGTTTTGGACAACGAAGATGGAAGATGGAAAATACACCAGTGTGAGTTTTATCTCAGCCTCTGATTTCACTGAAGAGAGACCCAAACCGATTCTGCTTCGGTTTTGAGCTTCGAATTTTTCTACCCTTTATTAACTCCGGTCTTCGATAGCATCTAGAAGCCAGTAGGGGACCAGTAGCACTCGCTCTATCCATTCCTTTCCCGGAATGAGAATTGCAAATGTTGGGTCTACTCCACGCAAAGTCGCACGCAATGACTTCCCAACTTCGGACCCCGTTAAAGCATCCAACCAAGCGCTACCTTCTTCCCTCGTCCCTCAGGGAGACTCAGGCAGTTGCTAGGATGCACCAGTGCTTGGATTTAATGGTATGCCCAGGGTTAAACGGGTACAGTTCTTACACAAGAATACGAAAGTAGTGGTGTGGAATGGGGTGGCAGTAAGGGGAAGAAAAGATTCTGCCTAAAACGCTTAACTCAAGGACTTATTTATGAATGCGGCTATGCTAAGGCAGCAAGAGACTGAGCGCAGAGAGGGGAGTATGAGGCGAGAGAGCGCGAGGTCGCCAGACAACTGAAGGGAACAGTGGACTGCTGCAGCTACCTTTGCAAGCCCTAGCGCCCTAGTCGGGTAATTTTTAGGCGCGGGTGTGCCAGATTTCATCTAAGGGTCTATCCTACGAACACAGCGGAATCGTTCACTGATTATTGCATTAGTTACGACTTTAGGCACCAATCTCAAGTTTTTCAAGAGAACACACACTGAGAACCAGCCCATGGGCTAAAACCGCTTCAAGGCTATTTTTAACCTCAAAACTGAAGAAAACGTGTGGGTAGCGGAGGGCCTATGCGTCTAGGAAAACCATAATAAGACCCCTTCCGCTGCGCTAGGTCTACTGTTAGCCGCTCTCTTAACAAATCCTACCTTTTTCCCACCCATAGCAGGCAAGCGCATACCATTGCAGGCGTGAGCGTCTTTGAGAGGGCTTTACCATAACCATAATCGTACCATAATCGTACTGCTTAAAACGGAAGCAAAGAATCAGATGAATGATAAAAAGGTTCACACTGAGCCAGTCAATCGCTATTATCAGTAGACTGAGCCCTTCTTATAATTAGAGAAAAATTCGCTCTATTAGTATTAATATTAATACAATTTCCCTCTTTTTTAGATTCCGTCCGTTCCAATGGGTAATAGTAACCGCGTCAAAATGGAAAGAGAGGCTGAAAGCAGGCCGAAAAGCGGTTTTTCCCAAGCGGCAAACAATCCTGCAGTGATCGTGGGTTTGGGTGTCACAACACTCGCCTTGATCGGAATGTTCAGGTAGGTCCCAATTTTCTTTTTCTTAGACTTCTGCAGCGATATTCCAAGATAAGGTTTTAGATCATCACTCCTTGGTGACAAACTACGCACACAAAAATTCATGCAGAAAAGAGTCATGGCTCAATTCTTCACCGTATCAGCTCTCATCGCAGGAGTTGGCTACCTTGCGGCCAAACAATATGGCCAAAAAGAAAATTCATCCGACTCGATGCTTCATAAGCACTAAACTTTGCATACTAGCAATACTAGTAGTCTAGGTTTGGCCATAGATTACGGCTTCGATTTGCTTGTACTTTGGCAGTCCATCTAATTAATTTAGTGATCAAGCGAAAATGTAATGCTCTCTTATGAATCAAATGGGTTTGTCGGCGCTATCGTAATATGGGGGCACTCTTTAAAACTAAGCCTCAGCAGGAACTCTGTAGATCACAATGGTCGCAAACTGCTTGGCCCCGAGTCTCTCCCTTCTCCCGCTAAGGCCCACTCTCTTTTTTAAACAAACAAGAAGTTTCTCTCAACAAAGAAGCACGTGGTTATAGGATCATCGCCGCCATGCCCAACCCACGCATCCTGCGCTTTAAAAGCCTGCGTCCGTTGTCTCCGAGATGAATTAGCTTCCCTGCTTTTAAAATTTTCCGGTGTAGCGTTGATTGGACGATCCTGTTTCTAGTAGAGTCAGGCAGGAACAACACCTCCCGATGTCGGAGAGCATTGCAATTTCATCGCTCGCAGAATTTGTTTGTTTATGTAGCATATATGTTTCACTTGAATTAGTTGTAAATGAAAGGCATTGTAATATATTACTATACTCTAGTGCAGAACCTGGAAAGTAGTAATCTCGGTTCATACACTACTAAAAAATTTTCAATTATGTTTAGGTCCTTTTTGGAGGCGACCGTGCTATTTTGCTTTGTTCAACATCGGCAGTGGCAATTGAATGGTCCATTTGCTGTTATAAAAGCGGCAGCGAGGGCTACCCGTATACAACAGTATTTATGCTGCAGGAGTCTAATAACAGTACAGCTGGGCTATATTAGGTTGGTTTAATCGTCTGACGATACCGGATTCTGAGTCCTCTGCACCGTACACCTTGGTAAGCAGTTTACTTGCGCACTACACTGCATTCGCTACATAATAGTTCGTTGATTTGAATCATAGTTTGCGCAGCTGAAGGAAATTCGCTTGTCCTTTTTTGACTATCACTAATGAAAGGTGCATATTTTCACGTCATTACAGAGTGCACCTAATTCCCTATTTTTGGGAACAAGTCGTGCGTTTAGATTTTGTTGCGAGAGCAAGTATTTCCGACATTAAAGGCACAGCCCAGGCAAGAGTCGTGTGAACGATTCCCTTCCGTTGTAGGATAGACCCCTAGAGGACAATCACAAATGTGGCATTCCCGTGCACGGAAATAACCGACAAGAGCGCTTGGGCCTTGCAAAGTAAGCTGCTGCAGCTGCATTTTTTTTCTTTATCAGGCTGTTGTCTGGCGCCTCTCCATCTGCTGCGCTCTCTCGCCTCATACTCTCCTCTCCGCGCTTAGTCTCTCATTCCTTAGCTAGCGACTATGAACGTGAGTGAACTCCCACTTGGGGTTTTTGACGAATTCTTTTCCTTTTTTCATTACACCGACGCTCATTGCGCCACCAATATGTTCTCCACATCGTGTGTAGGAACCTTCACCAATTTGATCCTGGGGCATGCCTTTAATGAATGGATTCCTGTTCGGCGTAATGTGTGATGACATATGCGTGATTTTCAAATCCCAAAACCATTATCGAAAATTGCCAAGAGATTCGTCGTGTAAGCTGGTCTTGAAGTGGTGACAAGGGGTTCATTCAATCATGGCTGGCATATCAAACAATGAAGAGCATGACAACTATGGAGAGTGCAGTAAAGCGCCATAGTCAGTGGTGGGAACTGATGGAGGAGGAGGGGGGGTGTCATTAGTAGGATAACTAAGCAAGGCTTCCCGAGTGTGATCGATGATTTTTGGGCCCAACTGGATGAATTTTGGCTCCTTGTCCCAATGACATAGGGAATGTAGCTTATGTTTTGAGCTCAAGGTAACCAATATAAGCTCCATGTGAGGCTCAGTTATGAATCAAAAGTGTTCAAATCAGCAGCCCACAGAAGCAGTAGGACGACGAAAGCCGTCCAAAGATGCTGCAGAACCGCGGCAGTCCAAACACCCTATATTTCCCAAGTTCCGTTTACAATTGGCATTCGAACATTGGACTTGCAGCCGACCAGCATACTCCCAGACAGGTCCTTCACTGAACATGTAGAAGGTTTGAAAAGCCAGATATCAGAAGGTAGCGGTAAAAGGGTTCTTTCGTGCATAGCATTTTCTTCTCCCAAGAAGTCTTGCAGGCGCAATCGCAATATACGGGGGCATCCTTCAGGATTGTAAGCATGGGAGGGGCAGGGACTCCGGAGAAAATAAAAATGGTCCACCCTGAAGTCACTCTTTCCATGTCCAAGGCTTAGTTCCGTTTTCAACGAATTGGGCATGTTTTATGCGATTTTGAACACCTTGCTACCACAATGCCCCCGTATATTGCGATAGCGACGTCTTGCATATCAAATAAAGGTTTTTCTTGTTAATGAATTGAGTCCTTAGAACCCAAGGATTCAACGTTCAATGGAACTGGTCAATGAAACGCAAGGCAAGAAAAACCGTTTCGGCGATTTTTGACCATTACTGTAGATCAGTCCATATCGCCGAACTGCTCCATTACTTAAGTATGAATCATAGGATCAACTGGAATCG